TTCTTTTCCTAATTGAATACCGTTTATTTCTTTCTCTTCCCTGATTGCCCTGGCCAGAACTTCCAACACTATGTTGAATAGGAGTGGTGAGTGAGGGCATCCCTGTCTTGTAGCAGTTTTCAAAGGGAATGCTTCCAGTTTTTGCCCATTCAGAATGATATTGGCTGTGGGTTTGTCATAAATAGCTCTTATTATTTTGAGATATGTTCCATCAATACTTAGTTTATTATGAGTTTTTAGCATGAAGGGAAGATTGAATTTTGTTGAAGGCCTTTTCTGCATCTGTTGAGATAATCATGTGGTTTTTGTCTTTGGTTCTGTTTATATGCTGGATTACATTTATTGATTTGTGTATGTTGAACCAGTCTTGCATCCCAGGGATGAAGCCAACTTGTTGTTGGTGGATAAGTTTTTTGATGTGCTGCTGGATTCAGTTTGCCAGTATTTTATTGAGGATTTTTGCATTGATGTTCATCAGGGATATTGGTCTAAAATTCCCTTTTTTGTTATTGTGTTTCTGCCAGGCTTTGGTATCAGAATGATGCTCACCTCATAAAATGAGTTAGGGAGGATTCCCTCTTTTTCTATTGATTGGAATAGTTTCAGTAGGAATGGTACCAGCTCCTCTTTGTACCTCTGATAGAATTCGGCTGTGAATTCATCTGGTCCTGGACTTTTTTTGGTTGGTAAGCTATTAATTATTGCCTCAATTTCAGAGCCTGTTATTGGTCTAGTCAGGGATCCAACTTCTTCCTGGTTTAGTCTTGGGAGTATGTGTCCATGAATGTATCCATTTCTTCTAGATTTTCTAGTTTATTTGCGTAGAGGTGTTTATAGTATTCTCTGATGGTAGTTTGTATTTCTGTGGGGTCTGTGGTGATTTCCCCTTTGTCATTTTTTATCACGTCTATTTGTCTCTTCTCTCTTTTCTTCTTTATTAGTCTTGCTAGTAGTCTGTCTATTTGTTGATCTTTTCAAAAAACCAGCTCCTGGATTCATTGATTTTTTTGAGGAGTTTTTCTTGTCTCTGTCTCCTTTAGTTCTGCTCTGATTTTAGTTATTTCTTGCCTTCTGCTAGCTTTTGAATTTGTTTGCTCTTGCTTCTCTAGTTCTTTCAATTGTGATGTTAGGGTGTCAATTTTGATCTCTTCTGCTTTCTCTTGTGGGCATTTAGTGCTAAAAATTTCCCTCTACACACTGCTTTAAATGTGTCCCAGAGATTCTGGTGTGTTGTGTCTTTGTTCTCATTGGTTTCAAAGAACATCTTTATTTCTGCCTTCATTTCATTATGTACCCAGTAGTCATTCAGGAGCAGGTTGTTCAGTTTCCATGTAGTTATGCGGTTTTGAGTGAGTTTCTTAATCCTGAGTGCTAATTTGATTGCACTGTGATCTGAGATCAGTTTATTGTGATTTCTGTTCTTTTACATTTGCTGAGGAGTGGTTTACTTCCAACTATGTGGCCAATTTTGGAGTAAGTGCAGTGTGGTGCTGAGAAGAATGTATATTCTGTTGATTTGAGGTGGAGAGCTCTGTAGATGTCTATTAGGTCTGCTTGGTGCAGAGCTGAGTTCAAGTCCTGGATATCCTTATTAACTTTCTGTCTTGTTGATCTGTCTCATATTGACAGTGGGGTGTTAAAGTCTCCCATTATTATTGTGTGGGAGTCTAAGTCTCTTTGTAGGTTTCTAAGGACTTGCTTTATATATCTGGGTGCTCCTGTATTGAGTGCATATATATTTAGGATAGTTAGCTCTTCTTGTTGAATTGATCCCTTTACCATTATGTATTGGCCTTCTTTGTGTCTTTTGATCTTTGTTGCTTTAAAGTCTGTTTTATCAGAGACTAGGATTGCAACCCCTTCCTTTTTTTTTTTCTTTCCATTTGCTTGGTAGATCTTCTCCATCCCTTTATTGTGAGCCTGCATGTGTCTCTGCATGTGAGATGGGTGTCCTGAATACAACACACTGATGACTCTTGAGTCTTTATTCAATAGGCCAGTCTGTGTCTTTTAATTGGGACATTTAGCCTATTTACATTTAAGGTTAATATTGTTATGTGTGAATTTGATCCTGTCATTATGATGTTAGCTGGTTAGTTTGCCCATTAGTTGATGCAGTTCCTTCCTGGCATCGATGGTCTTTACAATTTGGCATGTTTTTTGCAGTGGCTGGTACTGATTGTTCCTTTGCATGTTTAGTGCTTCCTTCAGGAGCTCTTGTAGGGCAGGCCTGGTGGTGACAAAATCTCTCACCTTTTGCTTGTCTGTGAAAGATTTTATTTCTTCTTCATTTATGAAGCTTAGTTTGGCTGGTAATGAAATTCTGGGTTGAAAATTCTTTTCTTTAAGAACGTTGAATATTGGCCCCCAATCTCTTCTGACTTGCAGGGTTTCTGCCAAGAGATCCGTGTTAGTCTGATGGGCTTCCCTTTGTGGATAACCCGACCTTTCTCTCTGGCTGCCCTTAGCATTTTTTCCTTCATTTCGACCTTGGTGAATCTGACAATTAGGTGTCTTGGGGTTGCTCTTCTTGAGGAGTATCTTTGTGGTGTTCTCTGTATTTCCTGAATATGAATGTTGGTCTGCTTTGCTAGCTTGGGGAAGTTCTCCTGGATAATATCCTGAAGAGTGTTTTCCAGCTTGGTTCCATTCTCCCCATCACTTTGAGGGCCACCAATCAAACGTAGATTTGGTCTTTTCACATAGTCCCATATTTCTTGGAGGCTTTGTTCGTTTCTTTTTACTCTTTTTTCTCTAAACTTCTCTTCTCAAATCATTTCATTAATTTGACCTTCAATCGCTGATACCCTTTCTTCCACTTGATCAAATCAGCTACGGAAGCTTGTGCATATGTCACATAGTTCTCATGCCATGGTTTTCAGCTCCATCAGGTCATTTAAGGTCTTCTCTATGCTATTTATTCTAGCTAGCCATTTGTCTCATCTTTTTTCAAGGTTTTTAGCTTCCTTGCAGTGGGTTTGAACATCCTCCTTTAGCTTGGAGAAGTTCGTTATTACTGAAGCCTACTTCTGTGAACTCGTCAGAGTCATTCTCCATCCAGCTTTGTTCCATTGCTGATGAGAAGCTGTGGTTCTTTGGAGGAGAAGAAGTGCTCTGATTTTTCAAATTTTCAGCTTTTCTTCTCTCGTTTCTTCCCATCTTTGTGGTTTTATCTACCTTTGGTCTTTGATGATGGTGACCTACAGATGGGGTTTTGGTGTGGATGTCCTTTTTGTTTATGTTGATGCTATTCCTTTCAGTTTGTTAGTTTTCCTTCTAATAGTCAGGTTCCTCAGCTGCAGGTCTGTTGGAGTTTGCTGGAGGTCCACTCCAGACCCTGTTTGCCTGGGTATCACCAGCAGAGGCTGCAGAACAGCAAATATTGCAGAACAGCAAATATTGCTGCCTGATCCTTCCTCTGGAAGCTTTGTCTGAGAGGGGCATCCCGCTGTATGAGATGTCAGTCGGCCCATACTGGGAGGTGTCTCCCAGTTAGGCTACACGGGGGTCAGGGACCCACTTAAGGAAACAGTCTGTCCATTCTCAGAGCTCAAACACTGTGCTGGGAGAACCACTGCTCTCTTCAGAGCTGTAAGACAGGGACATTTAAGTCTGCAGAAATTTCTGCACCCTTTTGTTCAGCTGTGCCCTGCCCCCAGAAGTGGAGTCTATAGAGGCAGGCAGGCCTCATTGAGCTGCAGTGGGCTCCACCCAGTTCGAGCTTCCCAGCCACTTTGTTTACTTACTCAAGCCTCAGCAATGGCAGGTGCCGCTCCCCCAGCCAGGCTGCAGTCTCGCAGTCTGATCTTAGACTGCTGCACTAGCAGGGAGCAAGGCTCCATGGGTGTGGGACCTTCTGAGTTAGGCATGGGATATAATCTCCTGGTGTGCTGTTTGCTAAGACCATTGGAAAGCGTAGTATTTAGGTGGCAGTGTCCCAGTTTTCCTGGTACAATCTGTCATGGCTTTCCTTGCCTAGGAAAGGGAAATCCCCTGACCCCTTGTGCTTCTCGGGTGAAGCAATGCCCACCCTGTTCAGCTCACCCTCCGTGGGCTATACCCACTGTCCAACCAGTCCCAGTGAGATGAACCAGGTACCTCAGTTGGAAATGCAGAAATCACCCATCTTCTGCATCAATCACACTGGGAGCTGCAGACCAGAGCTGTTCCTATTCGGCCATCCAGGAAATTTTCTATTTACATAGACTGTTTTTACAAAAATAAATTCATACTGTATGAACTGTTTGGTAACTAACTTATTTTTTACTTAACACTGTATTGCAAATTTATTTCCAAATCAATACATACAGATCAACATCATCATTTTTAAGATGTACTATTTTATTTTATTGATATGCCATAATTTATTTAACCAGTCCTTTATTGATGAACTGTTACATTGGTTGTGATATTTGGCTATTCTCCAGAATGTATCCTCTTATATATCTATTATTATTATATCCCTCAGAATTTATCATTTTATATACATATATATAATTTTATAGACTAAACTAGTTCTCCAGAATATATCTTTTTATCTATCTGTCTGTCTATCTATCTATCTATCTATCTATCTATCTATCTATCTATCTGTCATCAATATCACCTGATTATTTCCTTTATATAAATCCTAGAAGTGACAATGCTGGTGATATATAATTCTTTATTGTCAAATCTTAATTTGTATAATAACCTCTTAGAAGAAGTTAGCAAAATACAAAAACAAATAAGAATCCATGTTCTTGACCTGCTTTTGTTTCCATAAAACCTTCCTTAGAGCAGTGGTCTTCACATCTACTTGGCTTTAGTATAGCCCATGTGGTGGTTGAACACTTGTTCTTCTTCTTCTCCAGCATGGCCCAAATGGTCAACACTTATTATAGTCTAGCAATTAAAACCCTTGGAGACAGGACCAGCTAATTGAACCAGGCATTTAAAGTTCTGGCTCAAATGCATGCTCATTCACTTTTTGTATAAAATGCCTGCATTGTATTTTTCAGATGTATCTCAATTTTTTTTGTGGAGTTCCAGACATACTTCACTCAGGATTATGCACAAACGGCGTGGATCCATTCCATTGTAGATTGTGTAACCATGCTCTGTGGTGAGTATCACTTGCTAGGTTAGGGAATTACTAGCCACTGTTGAACTGCATATGACAATGACGTTCCACTGACTTTGATTACCAGTTTTTCCAAGTAGAAAGGCTACGTTAAAAACTGACCAGGACTATATAATATAAAGAAAAGATCAATCCTATCAGCCAAAACCAACTAGACTTGCTCTTGTAATTAATGGTCTTGGTTGATGTCAGGTAGAACAGTTAGATAATACACTCAAAAGAACACATAAGATTTGGTTTTTCCATATAGAGATAGGATGCTGAACATTCTAGAACCTGTACTGATTTTAGAAGCAATTTACAGTATATGCTTGGCTTCTCTCTTCCAAATGCTATGGACTTCTCATTCTCCAGTTATGTAAATGGTTATCAATAGTACCATGAGCCATTTCAATACAGTAATGAGTGCCAACAGTGTTGTATCACATCTTAAGTCTTGGATTGCATTCTGTTCCTTTCCCAAGGACTTGACATTTGGCTCATGGATTTCATCTTTTTCATGTATAAATCTTCATGCTTAGAGAAGTATTGGGGAAGGATAGGATTATGTCATCATGAGATAAACATATTCATTATGGGTGTAATTTCATTCAAGAAACTCCAAAAGTGTTATATAAGGTATGTAGGGTGTTATAGAAATGTATGGAATTAACATTCCATCTATGTAGTAAAGGACAACAGACCTGGCATTTGTTTAAAATAAATTTCACACTCACATTATTAAATTGATGTCTTAGAGAGTTTCTAAGATTAAATCAAATTGTTTGTAGCTTAGACCCACTTAATCCATTCATTTAAATGAGTTCTGAGTATGTTAGGAAATGTTCATCTCTTCAAGCCATGTCTTAGTGGCAAAAGGGAAATAATACCTGTATTCAGTAACTCATAGTACCATTTTATTCCATTCTACGTACTGACTCAGATTTCTTTTTGGAAAAAAAATACACATATCAGGAATCAGTTAAATTGTAACTGAAATGTATAATATTTGTTTAATTAGGGGGAAGCTGAGAGCAGTTCTAAGACTAAAAGCAGATTTCATGAGAAGGCTAAATGAACTCTACTCTTTCAACTAATAAGAAGGTCTTAAAGGATCAAAAAATCATATATTTGAGTTTTAGAGCCTGTCTTTTTTCTTTTAAACCACTTGATTTTCAGGGTCTCGTTATTAGTCACAGCATTTGCATCAGGACACCAAAGAAGCCATGTTTGTCTTCTCAGAGGATAAAGGTGACTCATTTCCCTCATTTCTATCTTTTGGAGGATATTCATAATCTCCCAAATAGGGGGAAATGACCTTAGGTGACCAATATGGTCCCAATGACTGTGTGAAGCTTTGAGTAGGGTTATGTCAGAAGCAACATATTTAAATTCTATGCAAGATCAAGAGGCCTGTTGTAAGCAATTACCATATACCCACCTCCTCACTTTGTAACATAATATTAGAACATTAAAGTTCAGAGTATGGATGAGAGTCTGCAGAATCACATGTGGGACACCCACTGGGAACAGATCTGCTCTGTGATGAACAGAGAAGCTACCAGTTGAGTTGGCCCCCAGTTTCAGTCTGATTGATATGAAAAGGATCATACTCTTCAGACACCTAGAAAATCAGCTCTTCTGATCTTGCTACTAAGAGTTACTGATGTCAGCATGAATTTTTCCTTAGAAGGAAACTCACATGCCTTCCTCACCCATCACTCTTGCCATTAGTAAGAGAGACCCAAAGAGTAAGGGGCAGAAATAACCTCACAATCAGTGTTAGGTGCTCTTGTTGGTGACCTTGGGCCATGCACCTATACCCCTGAACTTCAGTTCCTTTTTGGCCTCTTCTGGCTTTACTTAATATTCTATGAGCCTTGAGGTCAACATAATTCTGATACACTGACTGGTAAGCCACAAATCGAGTGAGACCAACCAGAATGTCACCATGTGCATGAAGCATTTTGCTTAGATTTTCTGGGCTTTGATATCTCAACTGCAGGGCCTGCTGAAGCCTAAAAACAGGGCCAGATTGTGGAATTTGTCTATGATCTCTCTCCCTGGTCTTTTACTGCATAACACTGCTGGTCACATGGTGTTACCCACTTTCTTTCTCCACCAATTAATTGTCACCATTATTGCTAATGATATATGATCAACACTATAGTAAGCATCCCTGTGCAAGTGCCATGTAATTTAGAGAAAGTTGATCCACTGTTTAAAAAGCACCTTACAGTCCTGCCAGTATGACTATAATAGAATGAAGAGGAATGAGCCTTGAAATGCAGGTCAGGAGACTTGAGTTCTATTCCAGCCCTGCTGCTTATCGTCTGTGGGACCGTGGACAATCACTTCCTTTCTCTGGGCCTCAGTTTGCAAAGCTGCAGAATTAATAGGGTGGACCCAATGCTTTAAAGGTTCTCTGCTCTGTCAATGCCACATCACAGCCTTTTCACAGTGCCCTCAAGGCCTTTCTGTTGAACCTATTTCTTATTGTTTTTGAAGCTCCACTTGGGAGTGTTGTCAGTAACCATTTATCCTGTCAAGTGGGAATCATGCTGGGTGGCTTGCTTGCATCTACCGGACTCATCCTGAGCTCATTTGCCACGAGTCTGAAGCATCTCTACCTCACTCTGGGAGTTCTTACAGGTAAGGGCACTTTGTACCACCTGTCTCACCCCACTCCATCCAGGGGGTTCCAAGCACGTCAACAGAGAAGTAACTCATAAAATATTCATTTTGTTAGATGTATAATTTAGTTGACCTAGCTTATGTTTACCTACCTAGCAGTTAAACAGAGCTGGAAATGAGATTATATTACCCTAATGAAAATGCATCTCCACTTTAATTCAGCCAGATGGTAAAAGCAACTGCAGCTTTCTCTTCGGAATTAGTGTATGGCTGAGATTCTGTACTCAGAAGAAACAAGATATTACCCAGGGCAACATGAATTTTCAGCAATGGTCATTCTTCCAACCATTGCCAAGACATTAAAATACTATTGACAGTCAATCTGAGTTGCTCCTGCTTTGTAATGAATATTGCTGTCCAATAAATGGGAGTTTCTAATTTTAAAAAAGCCCTTTATTGTGAATATTCTTATATTACGCATTCTTTCTCAATGCTATGGAAATATCACTTTAGCAAATTATAATAAATCCCATGGGTAAAAAGCAATATGTACAGTCAATAAATCACACTTACAGAGATGGCATAGGATCAAGATGAGTTGGCTGTGGGACTGCAGTAGGAGTTTGCCCATCACTCAAAGGGGCGTGGAGAGTAGCGCCAACTCCTGTCTGGGCATTGTGCCATTGGTGTGGCGTGAATAAGGTCAATAAAGGATGTAACCTCATAGTGAGGCTATAAATTTGGCTATGTTAGCTAAAGAAGGTACATCCACCCCTAATAACCCAAAGAGCCTGACTGCTGCTATGGTGACCAGTGGATCCCAGTTTACCAGGCACTGTCCTAGTTTTAACACTGAAAGTCCCACATCCAGAAACCACTGAGTCCAGGCAACTCTGGGTTGCTGGCTACCCTACACTGCAGATGAAAGCAGGAGCTTCAGAAGGTGATTCTCTTTTTCCTTCTCTGACATTCTAGTTGCCATAAAATCCAGGCTCAAAGCCCCTCAGATTTTCTTTACTTAAAAAGTCATAGAAGTTGACCTTTTTTTTTTTTTTTTTTTGAAACAGGGTCTTTCTGACTCTGTCCTCAGGCTGGAGTGCAGTGGCACAATCTCAGCTGCAACCTCTGTCTCCTGGGCTTAAGCCATCCTCCCCCTTCAGCCTCCTGAGTAGCTGAGACTACAGGCGCATGCCACCACACCTGGCTAATTTTTTTTTGCAGAGATGGGGTTTTGCCATATTGCCCAGGCTAGTCTACAACTCCTGAGCGCAAGTGATCTGCCTGCCTCGGCCTCCCACAGCGCTGGGATTACAGGCATAAGCCACTGCACCCAGCCCAAAAGTTGAAGGTCTCTAGAAAGCTTTCTAGAGTGTCAACATTTGTCTGCTGACCTTAAGAGATATTTTCACATATGTGAAAATATACATTGCTATGTTCACATATAAAATTGGTATAATGTTTCCCAACTATGTAAAATTACCCTGGAATTTTCATACTTGTATATGCTATTTGAATCCAAATTCCAGCGTGGTACAGATTGTCAGTGTTGTGTCTTCATAGGCAGTGAAGAGTTGAGGCAATTGTCTGGATTATTTAAGTTAAAAAATGGAGGAGGTGATGAGTTTCTTTGGTTGACATTATCCAGATTTTCTACTGAATTCCAATATAGTTCATATAATGCTTTTTATGTTCTTCATTTAACTTTGTTTATGAAGTCACATTTCCTTAAGGGTGTTCTCCCTAAGAAGAAAGTCATGTATATTCTACATTTGCCAAATTGTGAATGACTGGTGAGGGGAGATTCATTTTAAGCTTGGTGTAAAAAGCAGCTTTAAAAGCGTTTAATGAGAGGTCAGATTCTCTTTAATATAAATCATTGTATTCTGAGATATCATTGGCTGTTTATGGTACATCAGCACTCATAGAGTTCTCTTTATCCTCAGGTCTGGGATTTGCACTTTGTTACTCTCCAGCTATTGCCATGGTTGGCAAGTACTTCAGCAGACGGAAAGCCCTTGCTTATGGTATTGCCATGTCAGGAAGTGGCATTGGCACCTTCATCCTGGCTCCTGTGGTTCAGCTCCTTATTGAACAGTTTTCCTGGCGGGGAGCCTTACTCATTCTTGGGGGCTTTGTCTTGAATCTCTGTGTTTGTGGTGCCTTGATGAGGCCAATTACTCTTAAAGAGGATCACACAACTCCAGAGCAGAACCATGTCTGTAGAACTCAGAAAGAAGACTTTAAGCGGGTGTCTCCCTATTCATCTTTGACCAAAGAATGGGCACAAACTTGCCTCTGTTGCTGTTTGCAGCAAGAGTACAGTTTTTTACTGATGTCAGACTTTGTTGTGTTAGCCATCTCCGTTCTGTTTATGGCTTATGGCTGCAGCCCTCTGTTTGTGTACTTGGTGCCTTATGCTTTGAGTGTTGGAGTAAGTCATCAGCAAGCTGCTTTTCTTATGTCCATACTTGGAGTGATTGACATTATTGGCAATATTACATTTGGATGGCTGACCGACAGAAGGTAAAATTCATGAAACCACAATTGGTTCCCCACCAGGGGACTTTAAGCCTTGAGTTTCTCCTCAGCCCCTGACCCTGTGGAATACCTAGGTCTGAATAATGTTAATAAGTCTGCAGTATCTGAAGGCATCTCCCTTGCTGGTTCTTCTAGATCAGAGGTTGGCAAAATTTTCTGTAAAGGGACAGATAGTAAACATTTTTGGCTTTGTAAGCCAAGTGTTCTTCATTACAGCTATCCAACTCTGCTATTATAGTACAAAACAGCCACAGACAATATGTAAACAAAAGAGAGTGGCTATGTTCCAATAAGACTTTATGCACACTGAAATGTGAATTTCTCTTATAATTTTCATGTGTCACAAAATATTGTTCTTTTGATTTTTTCCAACCATTTTTAAACGGAAGAACCATTCTTAGTTCACAGGTAGTACAAAAAGAGGTCGTGGGCCAGATGTGTCTAAATTGCAGAAGCCTAGGGTAACTCCAGGTTCTGGTGGTAGATTTAAGATTTAATTCCATCCCAAGATGAGTCAGTCCTCAAGCAAGGCAACTTCTGGCTGGGTGTGGTGGTGTTAGTTTATTTTGAACCACTCCCGACTGGCAATGGAAAAAGGAGCAGAATCCAATTCAGGCAGGAGGGCCAGGTGCAATGATAACACATTATCTGTAGCCACATATTTATGTTTGACAATGCAAATTGCAAATAATTTCCTTGTAATTGTAGGCTTAGAAACCAAAGTTATAAGAAATCTACGAAGTAATTTCTTCAGCAAATGCTCATCTGTTTGGACTGAAGAATGCAGGCTACTTATATTCTCCTAAATGGTGAACCATTCACACTTGGGATGTGACTTGCAGAGCTAATACCATCATGTAGCTTCTCACAAATTATGTTTTTGGCAATTAATCAGGATCCAACTGCCATTCTCCAGTGTTATGAATATGATATTTAGTATTAATTGGACATTTGTAATGGTTAAAGAAGAAGGAGAAGAGCAAAGAGTACCTATTTTCACAATCAAATAACTCAGCAAGAAGCAGCCAGGTGTAGGTCTAATAGAGGCATCTGTAGTCTGAGGTATACTAGACCTAAGTTCTTGCACTGGCTCTGCTCCTTATTAACCCTGTAACCTACAGAAAGTCACCTAATCCTCAGATCCACATTGATCTCTCTCTGTAAAATGAGCCAGTGCAATATTTGCCTGTTGACCTTATTACTATTTTGTGAGGTTCAAATGAGGCTGTGAGTAGAAAAATGTTTGTAAAGCATAAGCTGTTGGAGCTGACATTATACAGAGTCTTTGAAATAATTGATATCATAGATGGGTTTGGAGTTATCGGGAAAATTAATGGGAATACCACTAAGACTTTGTCCTAGTCCAAGACCTCCATCATCTCTGGCAAACCATTTTAATGTCTTTGTATTACAGTTTCCCCTTTGTGTAACCACTTGGGTTATTGCATATTTATATACCAATGTATAACATATCTAAAAGCATCTAATAAGGTAGACTGCTAGGAAAATTACCCTCCTGACCCTTTACGTCAAGCTTGCCCAACCTGCAGCCCATGGGCTGCCTGCGGCCTGGGATGGCTTTGAATGTGGTCCAATACAAATTTGTAAACTTTCTTACAACATTTTGAGATTTATGCACACACTTTTTCTCTCTTTCTTTCTTTCCTTCCTTCCTTCCTTCCTTTCTTTCCTTTCCTTTCCTTTCCTCTTTCCTTTCTTTCTTCTTTTTTCATCAGCTATCATTAGTGTTAGTTTATTTTATGTGTGGCCCAAGACAATTATTCTTCTTCCAGTGTGGCCCAGGGAAGCCAAAAGATTGGAGACCCCTGCTCTACATTTTATTTCACGACTACTTTCAGAGTAACCCTGTGAGATAAGTAACCTTCCATTTTATAGCTAAAGAAATTGAGTTAGGCAGGCAGTGGGTGGCAGAAATACTTTTAATATTCTACCTTTCTAATTTTGAAGCATATATTCTTTCTACCACGCTATGCTTACTGGGGAGATGAATTCTTGCATTTGCAAAAAGGAAAGATAGGAAGACAACATAGATAACACACAATGGGAAAGCCATCTCTGTAAATAACTGCAGTGCTTACTGCTGCATAGCCGTGGCTCTAAAGCTGTTTTACAGAATGTGTACATCCTGCACTCATTCTTGTTCTTCATATCAACAGGTGTCTGAAGAATTACCAGTACGTTTGCTACCTCTTTGCTGTGGGAATGGATGGGCTCTGCTATCTCTGCCTCCCAATGCTTCAAAGTCTCCCTCTGCTTGTGCCTTTCTCTTGTACCTTTGGCTACTTTGATGGTGCCTATGTGACTTTGATCCCAGTAGTGACCACAGAGATAGTGGGGACCACCTCTTTGTCATCAGCGCTTGGTGTGGTATACTTCCTTCACGCAGTGCCATACTTGGTGAGCCCACCCATCGCAGGTAAGTTTCCAGAGAGAAACCCCAACCACCTTTTCTCTTTGGCATATTGATGTGAAAACAGCAAACCCACATGCAGTCAATGAGAAGGATTGTCAAGAGAGTTGGGGAAGAGTGAAAGAGAAAAGGAACATATGAGCCCCCAAAACCATCTTGGTCCCACCTACATCCTTGTTTTATAATCTTCTTCCAACCAAGTAAGAATCTTAGCCTACCTGGAAAGAGTAAGTCCCAAATTAGGGTCTTGATTCCTTTCCATATTAATGATGGGAGCAGGGGGATGGAGCAGTTGTTTAGCTTTATAAATAAGTAGGGTGCATTCAGAGGGAAGTCTCAGGGGAGAACAGGATTCCAACAGGGGGCATTGGGTGATGAGGCTGAAATTATAAATGCCAGTGTCATAGTGGAGTGTTTTGGGTGCCTGACAAAGGAACTGGGCTCTATTCTTCAGAGACTATGGATAGTATTAAAGTCTTTATGTAAAAGGATAATATGGTAAAGTGTATATGTTAGAAAATGTGATCTAGCAATTGATCTAGTAACTTAAGAGAGAGGTAGCTAAGATTCCATTCTAATGGTTTAGGAGGCAGCTGATAAAGGCCTAGCTAGGGCTGCTGCAGCAGAAATAAAGATGAGCTCTGGGGGGAAGGAGGAAGTTTTCAAAACAAAATTCAGCAGAATTTAGCATACAGAGGTGAATGAGAGATATAAGTCAAGGATGACTTAGAAAATAATGTCATGGTTGAGAAAATAAAGAAATTAGAGAAAGTGGCTTTGCCTGAAAAATAATGAATATGGTTTTTAGATATGTTGAGATTTCTGAAATATACAGGTAGAAATGCTCAATAGAGCTGTTTAAAGATGAAATATGAGCTTTAATGGATGGCCTGATTATATATAGATTTGGGAGTCATCATATAAAGCACCCAGAATGTTTAATAAACTCTAAAATGCTATAGAGTGAAGCATGATTAAACAAATAATTTGACAAATATTTATTGTATGCATTAAACAAGTAATTCAACAAGTATATATTGCGTGTGTAACTAGCATTGTGTTTATCATGCTGGAGAGACAGGAATAAACAGGTTGGAACCTGTTTCTCCTTCTTAAAGCATGTGGTCTTACACCACCTGCATCAGAGTCTCCTAGGGACCTTATTAAAAATGCAGATTCCTTGACACTCCCACCTTGATCTGAATGTTGAGGATGAGTTCCAGAAATCTACATTTTCAACCAGCTTTGTTGTGATGCTCATGCACGGTTAATATTGAGAATTACTGTTCCATATTATTATCTGCCTAAATTAAAACTGAGAGAGTGAACAAGGTCTCTGAAGACAGGCAAAAGAGAAATAACCCAAAACTTTGCCTAGAAAGAAGGCAGGAATTTTTTTGAGGAAGACAGGGTTTCTGCTATTAGCTATTATTGTGAATAGACAGTTTCAGGTTATTTCCAAATCCAGCAATTGGGGTGGAATAAAAACAGCAAACTAGGGGAAATTGTGGCCGCTTCAGTGGTGCAGATGAAAAAATCCTGTTCAGTTTAAACTCCATGGTGATCTTTATGTTTAATGCTCCATTTTTGAAAACTGCCCCCAAAATGTTCCCACGTCCTCCCTCCATAGCCTATTTTAGTGCTCACCAACCTTTAGAAACAGTGTCATCCTATCAGAGGTCACAGGACACAAATGAAATTGGGATTCATGAATCTTTTTTTCAGTTCGTGGCCTTCATTGGCAAATCAGACATGATACTCATTACTGGGAATTCGAGGATTAATTCTTATTGTATTGTTTTCTTACTTATTTATCTTTCAAATAACAGTCCTCTACTCGGTCTTTTTTGTTTGGTGCTATAGAAATGCACATGTAAACCAAACAATAACTAAAATATCTGAGAGCAGTTTAAATTCAGGAAATTTTGTGGGACTTATAACAACTTCTACATGCCATTTTCAACTAATGGATTTGAAGTGGGTAAAGAAGAAATCATATACTTCTCTGGTGGGTTTTCTTGGCAGATAAGAAAGTTTGAAGGAATTTTTAAAAACCTTGGTTAATTATAAAATAATTGCCTGATGAAGTATAATGTTACCCCACTGGTTTTCTGTCATTGTGGCCCCTATTTTGCATATCATATGCCCGGTTTTCCTCAAAATGTATAGCTGAGATAGATATTGAGATTAATTTGTTGCAACAAGAGATAAAGAAAAAAAAGCTAGTTTGCATTTGCGAATTCTAAAATGGCCCAAAGTTCTGATTTTTCAAACAGGATAGAGTATAATGACTGAATCCAATTGAAAATGTGATACTGCTTTGAAGCATGTCATGTTACTCAAAATAGTGTGTGGGTGCTGTGACTACTACTAGCATTTTTTACAAATACGTTCTTTTAACACCCTAGGTGAATTATTCCAACTTGAATAATTTAAATGATGCTATTTTTATCTTTTTACCAGATTTCATGGGGTTAATAATAACTAATACTTACGTTGTGACTACTAAGTACATGATGCTCTTCCAAGCACTTCACATAACAACAATCAATTCACTCTAGAAGTTTTCCTGGAAAACAGAATGTGTTTTTCAGTTGCTGCACAAAATTACAATTGGTGGTGCTATTGATCTATTATTATCCTTACAAAGTATTAGAATTTGAGAGTGGGTAAGCAATTGAATTTTCAACTTAACAATATCATTTTGCTGTTGTTTGTTACAGGATGGCTGGTAGATACCACTGGCAGCTACACTGCAGCATTCCTCCTCTGTGGATTTTCAATGATATTTAGTTCTGTGTTGCTTGGCTTTGGTAGACTTGTAAAGAGAATGAGAAAAACCCAGCTGCAGTTCATTGCCAAAGAATCCGATCCCAAGCTGCAGCTATGGACCAATGGATCAGTGGCTTATTCTGTGGAGAGAGAATTAGATCAGAAACATGGGGAGCCTGTGGCTACAGCAGTGCCTGGCTACAGCCTCACATGACCAATGGCCTTGAGCCCCAGAATCTTCAGATTTGAGAGAGGTGTGGGGCCAGCAGATTCTTCGTGTTTCTGAAACTTTTTATTTTGGCAGAAGTATTGCCTTCCAAGGAAACTATTATTATTGTTTTGTTAACATATTAATATTTATAAGGGAAAATAGCACATAATAAAGAAAGCTGGACTAGCCCAGAGGCTTCTCATTTGGGATTTGTACTCATAACTGAACTCATATCTTGTGGTCAATGGGCATAGCTCTATGAGAAATGTAAGGACACAGCTGATATAATTAGCTGTAATTAGGGATAATTTCAACACATAACCAAAGCAGATGACACTGGGCAGCAACTTTGTTCCAGTCTCAGCCCCTTCATGTTCCCTCCTCAGAAAGAAAATGGAAACATTAACGTGTAGCTTTGCTTACCTTGTTCTGGTTAGAGAAGGGAGGTCAGCTTGGGTGTGGTGGTGAAGAGTGAAGATGCCATACCTTTTTCATGGTGGAGTTTCTCATTAGGGTTTTACCTGGGGTTGTTAAAAAAATACTTAAGATTCTTCAAAAGGTGGTGATTAATATAGAAAGAAACTCTTATTGTTTTCTCTCTTAGTCTTGCAGCCAGCCCTTGCCTCTGCCCAAGGGTAGACACCACTATGAGAATCCAAATAATCATGGAATGCCATGGTTGGAATAGATCTCAAAGGGTGGCTGGTAAGATCTATTTGAAATTGTCCACTGGAAACTGAAAGCTCTTTTCCTAAGACCGGGTTCCAGGCTCTCACCTTTGTTACCATCACATATAATACTTACTCTAAATTTAGCAGAACACACTTAGTCACAAGGACAACCTCTCAATCTTACCTGAAATGTTAACACCAAAACTTCTCATTTTTTACCTTCAGAGAAAAAGCTCTTATTTAAACTGCAGACGCATTCCTGTTAGGATGAAAAAATGTTGGCAGTATTCCATTTGGGCAGGAACTGAATTCTTGAATCAGCAGGTCTCTGGTGAGAGTTTTCTTTGCAGATCAGACATTTAGTTTTATCATTACCCAAAAGAGGATAGGAGGGGGTCAGTTATCTGAACAAATATTATGCTAGAGATATTCTGAAGGTGAGATTCCTTTCTCCTTGTGTTAATTCTTGTTCCACTGTCCACTGCTCTTCATCTCTTTGTGGATAATAATTAGAAATCTACTCATTGGATTAGAAGTTGATTCATTCTCAAATACTCCACTTTTCTATGGTTTGGGATAATTTCTGAGTCTTCAGATTGAAGAGGGAAGGCATGGAGGGAAGAAAAAGTCCAGATCCCGCAGCTTGTCTCCAACCATTTTAAATCCAAAGGATTATAATCCTGAATCTCACATCATGTCACACCTGTAAATAGGGGCAAATTATGCAATCAATTTTAATTATCAGGAGTTTAAAATCCAAATGTTAAGGAACTGTTTTGACCCTGAAGGCTATTTAATCCACTGTCCCCTACAAGGCCTCACAAGTGCTGAGGAAAAAAAAAAAAAAAAACCAACCAGCAGTGAGGAGGATCCTGGGTTACTGTGTATGCTCAGCAAGAGAGTTTGCCTATACCTTGATTATTTCATAAAATCACATGTTAATACATTGCTTTCAGAATGAAATACTGACTTGATTTGATAGGAGAAAATGGTAATATTTCATGTTGTTTTTCAAAGAAATGTAAATATTATCTGTTATCTCCTTACATAGTTTAATAATTTAGTTTTGAAGCCCACACTGGACTGAAAAGAATTTACTTTTCATTGACTTTGTTATTTGCAATTTTAAAAATATTTGGAGCTGGGCATGGTGGCTTACGCCTGTAATCCCAGCACTTTGGGAGGCTAAGGCGGGCGGATCATGAGGTCAGGAGATCGAGACCATCCTGGCTAACATCGTGAAACCCCGTCTCCACTAAAAATGCAAAAAATTACTTGGGCATGGTGGTGGGCACCTGTAGTCCCAGCTACTCGGGAGGCTGAGGCCAGAGAATCACTTGAACCTGGGAGGCGGAGGTTACAGTGAGCCAAAATCATGCCACTGTACTCCAGCCTGGGCAACAGAGAGAGACTCCATCTCAAAAAAAAAAAAAATATATATATATATATATATGTGTGTGTGTATATATATATATGTGAAAGATATCTGTAAAACGTCAAAGTTAAAACGAAGTTATATCTGTTTGGAATAGCACTTTGCCCTAAATATCATTTTTTGAATTTCAAGCCTAAAGATTTTTAAAAATATGAATAGTTACAAATATTCTTATACATATTTTTTCATCGTGATCACAACAAAATTTTGTTTATGTGGTTCTGCAATATAATTTCTGTGAAGTATTGTAAGTATGCAAAATGAGCATAGTGATCAGAACTTTTAAAGATTTTGTGTAAAAACATTTGGGAGATTTGACTTTATACGTGCATAGATTTGCATTTTACTTTCCCTTTTGAAGCAGCATTTTTAGAAAATTTGTAAGAAAAATGTACATCTTAAGGTCTACTATTTTACATTTCTACACAGAATTTTGGTGTTCATGTTCCATATGTCTATACTGTTTATTTCAAAACTGAGAAATTCATGGGAATGATGTATTTTGTGGAATCAAGAACAAAATTATAGCGGGATAATTTTACATCTTAAATATTTCTTTCTACTACTGTAAGCTCTACTTTGGGATTATCTGAGTAGAAAATCAGAAGACATTATCTGACTTTATAGATACACTGTATGATTGGGCTCTTTGTTCAGATTGTAATTTCATTAATAGATGAAATATTTATGCTAATATTTTCTTATTTCAAAAGCAAAATAAAATGAGTTTATTGTCCTGTGTTTGGAAAGATATTTTTCCCTTGGACAAGAGGTTTGGATTGGATGGTGAGTGGGCCTGTCTGGATCATGGTAAGATGTGGTCAGCATTTTAAGATGTGTTAAGTAATCAAATGATTTACAAAAACCAAAAGTCTTTATTGAGTTTTTCCAACGTGTGAGCTCTTATGCCAGCTACTTCCTATGCATTGTCTCATTTAATCCCCATAGTGACTTCTATCATTATTGTTTTGGAGATGTGGAAAATGAAGCACCAGTTCCCACAGCTCAGTATCCACTGCACTCCTCTAGTGTGAAATCCTGTAAAACTGGGATGCTGCTGATTCTGAAGCCCTGTGTCCTTCCCCTGTGCCTACTTGAATCATCTTATGTGGGTTCAAGAAGCTGTTGGGAAACAGATGCTCCCTTGGACAGGTAAAATCCTTTGGATTATGCTTCAATCGTCTAATCAATATTGAAGGAAGATTCTAGATTGGAGATTTCCAAGAGTTTTCCCAAGAGGATCTCTCAAAACCACTACTTCCAGGCTCAGTGGTTTAATTTGCTGTCGATTGATCCAGGCTTCTTTTGGGGAGAATTTAGGGTTGAGGGGGTGAATTGGGGAGCATACTTTGTCCCAAAAGTGAGCTAATTCCACTGTTTGCCTTCCACATTACCAAAGTCAGGCTTTCTCAGGAGTTGAGTTCTTCTTGAAGTGCCTTCACCATTGCCAGTGATAATGAAAATGGTAATGTCTGTTAGGCACTCCCCTTCCTGGTCCCAGTAGGTCTAATTCTGAAATTGCTTACTGAAATGAAATAGTACAAATTCAGCTGGGCGCAGTGGCTCACGCCTGTAATCCCAACACTTTGGGAGGCCAAGGCGGGTGGATCACCAGGTCAGGAGATCGAGACCATCCTGGCTAACACGGTGAAACTCCATCTCTACTAAAAATACAAAAAATTAGCTGGGCGTGGTGGTGGGCGCATGTAGTTTCAGATACTCGGGAGGCTGAGGCAGGAGAATGGCGTGAACCCGGGAGGCAGAGCTTGCAGTGAGCCGAGATTGGCCACTGCACTCCAGCCTGGGCGACAGAGCGAGACTCCGTCTCAAAAAAAAAAAAAAAAAAGAAAAGAAAAAAAGAAATAGTACAAATTTGGGGTAGATATCTGAGTTTCTTTCCTCACACTTGAAAGTTTGAGTTAAAAAAATGTTTTTTAAAAAACATTTTAAAAAACGTAAAAAAAGTTTTAACTCTGTCAAAGAATAGATTTTCATATCTGTTACCAGCACAACTACCAATGACAGATGACTGAGGTTTTGTCCCATAGCACAGAAAACTATTTGGTTGGGGGAGTGGGACGATACTAAATAATGATAAAAGGACTGACAGTTAAGATAAAACGTTATGGTACTTTTCAAACATATACAAAAGTAGAATGAATAGTGTAAAGAACTTGAGGTACCTATTCCCCCACATCTACAATTATCTACCCATTAGCCTCTCCCTTGATGAAGCAATTTGAAATATATTAACATGTGCACAGCTCATGTTTCCTTCAGCTGCCAGGGAATACCTGAACTTGGCAAGAATAATTTGTTCATGCTAACGGGGACACGTGTGGTTAGTATCACCTATTAATGAGTCACATCATTACTTACAAAGCTGATTCGGGCCCTTTTCTTGCTATGGGCTTTGAGTATCAATTGAAGATTAAAATTTTCTCCTTCTCTCCCTAGCACCCAAAAGGGTCTATCTACCTGAGGCCCAGGGCTGTATTAAATAAGTTAAAAGGGCCTTTTATTTTTCTTTTCTCTCTCTCTCGTGACCCAAGAGAGTCAAACCAATAAAAAGGGATTTTGAGGTTTAGATGAGAGTGATCATTATTACTCTCATTATTGCTCTTAATTGTCTAAGGGTCAGAGGTCTTTTTGAGGGATCTGGGAACTAAGATTGGTCTAGAATTAAAAAAAAAAGCAGTTTATTTTTGAGGGTTGAGTTGGCATTAAAAGGCTTTAGAATTAGCATTTCAAATGTAGCCCTTTTCAAGTTTTTCCATAAATGTTTCTTTTGTGATGACAAGTTAGACCTTTTCCCACTGGCCAGTGTAATGATAGAAGAGTTCTCAAGGACCTTGTACTACGAAAGATGAAGACCTGTGCTCATTCTTGGATAGCTTATTTTTGCAACTGGGGGCAGAGCAAGGTGTGGGTATGGGTCAAGGTAGGGAAGAGTTTGGGAGTGGGAGAAAGAATGGGGGGCAGCCTCTGTGTAGTTACCTGAGGCTCCGGCCCACGTGCAGGTGGATGAATCCAGATATCTGACCCTAAGTTTCTAAAGCTCAAACAAGGAAGAGCAA